GAACCTCAGACTGGGCAGAAGGTTCACCTTCCAACAGGACAATGACCCTAAACACACTTATAGACAACTCTGTGAATGTCCTTGACTGGCCCAGCCACAGCCTGAGCTTGAACCTAATCAATTGCCAAATGCTGATGAGCAAAGCTTATCGTATCATACCCAAAAAGACTATAAAAGACTTATTTTTAATAGATTTATGAAGTTGTGACAGTTTTGTTTTTGCTTTGTCATTATGGTGTATGGAGTGTAGATTGATGTGGAAAAAAACAGTAATTCAAAGCAGTTTAACATAAGGCTGCAACATAACAAAACGTGAAAAAGTGAATATACTTTTTATAGGCACTATATATATATATATATATATATATATATATATATTAACCGAAACTCCGTGCTTGCCTCACAGACATGAAAAATATATCTACAGAAAGTGAAATGTCTACTTTTAAATGAAGCAATTCAAATAGAAAACAAATATTTGCTGATTATGTAATCCGTATGAAACGTGCACGTCCACTGTGGAGATGACGAGTCAGTGTCGACTTCATCACTGCAGCCGAAAATACCGAAAACACTAGTTTATCAATTAATTATTATGATGTTAAGGCAGTCTTCTTGCTGTTTTTTCCCTGAAACATTCATAATCATAACTTCTGCGCTGCTCTGTGGCAAGGTTTATGTGTGCGCTGATAGGCTATAGGCAATTAAAGGGTCATTATTATGAATTATATGGTTAATTAATATAAGCATGCGATTAGTTGACTAATTGCTTCAAATGTACGACTATTAGTCGATCAGAAAAATATTCGGTTTCTGAGAGCAGATGAATCTCCAGGACTTTACCTCTGTCTGAGATCTTCTTGAGCTGCTCTTTGCAGAAACCCTCCAGTTTGTCTTTCAGCTGATGGACATCACATTAGAGCTACAGATTCTAGTATTTGCCACTTACACTATATGTGAACTTTCTGGGAAATAGTTTAGATGATAAAACATCTGCTGAGAACATAAATGTCCATCTACAAAGACACTGAAACTTCACAAGGATCCTTAAGACACTCTCAGGTTTGGTTTGGTTTCAATATGCTGAAGCAATGCTAATATACAGCCTTACTTCATGTTTGGGGTCTTCATGATCAAATTCATGAATGTGTTACAGGCAAATAAAAATCACTTTTATCAGGTTTGAGGATCACCTGATGCAATGTTGATGAACGTTACTCAGAATCAGTACTATTAAGTTCACTGATTTCACCATGATGTAATAAATCAGAAGGAAAAATAAGTTAAAAAGCTGAAATGTTAATGAACTGTTGGTGGCGCTAGTGGTGTTTGACAGCCAAATATATCTTCCAGAAGAAAGAGCTCAGAGAAATGATTCCTAAGAGATTTCCAGAGCTGAAAGCCATTTGTAAGCGGCATCTCTTTCAGAAGAAGATGATCAGATGAGAGTCTGACTGATGATTATATAATAAGACACTCATGAAATGTTTTTCTGTGAGTCTCTGTCACAGCAGGATCTGCTCAAGTCCACTATGATCCTGTTCTTCTAGATCTCTGTTACCTGCAGGAACTGGATGTGATGAGCTCAGTAAAGATCCTCTCACTGTCCTCCACTGCTGTCTGTGCAGAGCGCTGTTAGGACACACAGTGATTCAGGCTTCAGTGAGTCTGAACTGAGACTGAGACAAACTTCTCTTCTTCTCCAGACTCACCTTATGAGACTCCACAGCCTCTCTCAGCTGCTGAAGATCTTTCTCTCTCTGCTGGATTCTCTGCTGGAACGCCTTCTGCGTCTCCTTCAGCTGCTTCTGCAGAACAAACGGATGACAGTGAATGTCACAGAAAACTAATGATGTTTTATTAACAAAGTTCGGGAGGAGCGTGTCAGATACTTAGCCTAATTAACACAAGAGGAACGCTGTCACGAAACAACACAAGGGAAGCGAGGAGACGAGGAGTTAACTTCAAAATACTTCAAAACCAAATATGGGCATACAAGAGGTAAAACTAGGACATGGGGAGCACAAGGACAGAAAACACAACACAACACAAACATAGGCCTGACATTACCTCCCCCTCCAGGAAGGCCCATCCACGCGCCTCATAACATCTACCGGGGAGGGGGGTGGGCGCTCCAGAGCGGGACCCGATCTGGGAGACCCTGGCGGAACAGGAAGCTCAGGCGGCCATGGCGGATCGGCCTCCGTGGCCTTGGCCAACAGCCTGGCCCCTACGGCCAGAGCTCTATTAGCCCCCTCCAAAAAATTACTTGGGGAGAATCTCGGGTCTCGAGGCCCTCGCTGGGCCGGATCTGGGGACTGGGGCCCTCACTGGGCCGGATTCAGAAACAGGAGCCCTCCTTGGGCTAAACTCAGGAACAGGAGCCCTCCTTGGGCTAAACTCAGGAACAGGAGCCTTCCGTGGGCTAAACTCAGGAACAGGAGCCCTCCCGGGGCTATCCACAGGAACAGGAGCCCGTTCTGGGCTAGGCTCGGAATCTGAGGCCCTCTCTGGGCCGGACATGAGACCAACAGCCCTCCTTGGTCTGAACGTGGTGACAGGGGCCCTCTCAGGGGTGAACTCAGGAACTGCTTCCATCGAGGCAACACGAGAAGCAAGCGGCTTGGGAATGGCCTCCATGGCCATGACAGGAGAAGCAGCCTGCTTCTGAGGAACCCCAACAGACAAGACAAGACAAGACCAATAAGACTGATTAAAAATGTTCCTGTGGACAATACTTCAGGGGACATGACTTGCCTCTGGTCAGGGGCTGGAGCCTACACTGGACTCTTGGTCAGGGGCTGGAGCCTGCACTGGACTCTTGGTCAGGACACTGGAGCGAACTTTGGAACTGAAGTGAGCCACAGCCGGCGGGCTTGACGTCGGAGCGGCTGGCGGGCTTGAGGGAGCCACAGCCGGTGGGCTTGAGCAAGTGGCGGCCGGCGAACTTGACTGACGAGCGGCCGGCGGGCCTGGGTTAGCCGCAGCCGGCAGGCTGGACTTCGTAGCGGCCGGCGGACTCGCAGTACTCGCAGCGATCCCGCCGAACTCCCACACTTACCCACTGCGGGCTAGGGCGGAATAGCGAGCGGTGACTTCCATGCCGCGGGGGGGAAAAACGGGGAAAACAAAAAAACTTTCAAAACCGACAAAACAAACGAGGAGAAGAGGCGCCGCATACTGTTTGGTCCGGTATTCTGTCACGAAACAACACAAGGGAAGCGAGGAGACGAGGAGTAAACTTCAAAATAAACAGTCTTTTAATGATACACAGTCCAACAGAGGTAACACAAGGCAGGGAGAACACAACATCGACGGTAATACCGGATGCTAGACTAAGGAAAACACAGGGCTTAAGTACACTAGGTAATTAACAAACACAGGTGGAACAGAATGAACATAATAAACTAATCAGGGAACATAATCAGGGAGAACTGAAACAGGTGGGACTAAATTAACTAAACGAGAACAGGAAAAGGAACAAAACCAAATATGGGCATACAAGAGGTAAAACTAGGACATTGGGAGCACAAGGACAGAAAACACAACACCACACATACATAGGCCTGACAAACGCACTCAAGTTAATCAACACCATAGGTATAAATACAGCTGACATACCTCTATCCTTTGACGGTTAATCAGCATCCCTCCACCACTCCCTTCTCCACACTTGAGTTCTTACTACACTTATACGGGGGGATACTCTGGGTTTGGGCCATTCCCGAGCTCGGAGCCCTTCCCCGGACAGCACGCCAAATACGCATTACTATACTCCAGCTAATTATATGTAAGTGTGAACTCGTGAACTAGGACTAAATCATCATGTGAACAGATGAATCCAGTAAAAGTGGAGCTGATAACTAATGGCTATAGGTTCAAAGTGATGATCTATTACAATCATTATACATGATTTAACATGAAGATTAAGGCCTGTTTCACACTACAAGTGTAAGTATTATAAAAGTGAAACTGACACAGACGTAGAGCTTCACACTGACAGTGTTTCTACATTTTGATTGATGAAACTATATATTTATTATATGTATTATATGTCAAAGAACAGGTGAATAGTGTAATCAAAGCCCATTTTATGAAAGATTGTGTTGATAAAGGTTTACGGTTCATTTTCAGCAGTGAAACTCTTCTTGCAGCTGCTGTTCATTTCTGCTACAGTTAATATGTGTGCCGATATAAACACTTATGAAACGAATGTCAGTAATATTTCATCAGTGTCTAGTTTTAAATACCTGCTTCTCTGTCCTCTGTGCTGCAGCTGATACAGTGTCATGGTTTTTATGGTCATCCATACACAGCACACATATACATTTCTGGTCAGTGCGACAGAAAATCTCGAGGATCTTCTAGGCCAGTCTCGTGAGACTGGTTCCCTTAGTATGTCACCTGGCGGTGTGGGAGCCCCTGCCAAGTGTGCCTCCTTGGGTCCTGCCCCGAGCAGACTCTGGTTCTATCAGTCGAGTCTTCCTAGCAGATGACGCGGGTCTGAGGACCGTCATTTTCAGAGAAGACTTCAGCTAAGAGGGTTCTGATGCTATGGCTCAGGACCTCGGAGGGCAGGCCCCTCTGGGGAAGAGGGGTGCACACCGCATCACACGGTGCCCGTCTCTCCTCAGTGCCCTCAGGAGATCAGTCTGCCATCCCTGCCGTTGTTCCAGGGCGCAGCGGTCTCCGGCGAGCGCTGCTCTCAGTTACCGCCCGGAAACGTAGCGGTGCTAAGAGGCTCGCGACCTCCACGGAGGTCTCTAGAGTAACTAGTTTGGCTGTCTCCTGCCTGTTCGCCGCTTCAGGGCACCGAGCTAGCCGCTATGATTACACCAGAGGTCAGTCGCGAGAGACCGATTCCCTTAGTAGACTAACGTGTCTCGGTGGGTCCTGCACAGTGTGGAAGCTTGCTTCTAAGATGATGAATTACATGTTTTCTTCAGAAGATTAAAGTAGATAATTAAAGCTGCAGTCCGTACGTTTAGCCTCTTTGTCGCCATCTCAGTTTGAAAACCCGGAATTGCAGATGTGTGCGGAGTTATCTATCTTGCGTGAGGTTGTGAGTCGGCTCGGCTCCAGTGCGGATGAATCTAATGTGAGCGTGTGGCAGTCAGTCACCGCACCGGTGTGGATATTCACTGTACTTCGCAAGCACAGATTCTAGCCTACGTCTTGGAATATATGACCCAAATATGAATTTTCACCATATATTGCCATATGAACAAGTAAGTAACAAGTCTGCCACGTTTGTTCTGCCCAACTGAGGAAAAAAGCATTACCATAAATTGCGCTACCAATGGTGATTAAATCTAAAGATCGGTTAGCTCATATCACATAAAACCGTTCAAATTATTATTATTGTTATACTTTATTCTCAAATTATTAATGTTAACAACATCAGCATTGTGTGACTATGTGAATATAGTGTGTATTAGCGTGTAGATTTCAGTTTCTGTACAGTCTAATCTAATTGTCATGCCATTCAAATTTCATATTAAGAAATTATTTTAACCCAAAAAGCAAACTATGCTCCCTTCGAACTGGTTTTCTTTAAAATACAAATCTTGTGTAGTCCAAGGCTATCTGTAATCAAATGCACATTTAAAACTGGAATATAATTTAATTTCATTCACATGTGTTTCATAAACACATAAATCTTTCTGGATCACAATCCGCCATCAAAATGATATATTTAATTATTCCAGCTGCTGTGAGAAAAGGCTATAAGCGATCCGCCACCTGCAGGATCCTCAGTCACACGCGATAGATAGCCTAGTAGCCGGGACAGCTTCTTTATGTTTACATAAGTGACGTAATGACGCTGTGCCATGCTCGAATTTCCCGCGAAAACCTACTTGTACCACTCAAACTAGAAAACATTATTATAAGCTAACCGTTGTGAATCAGCTAAAGTAAGGTGATAGTTTTGAACACGGGATGGTTATGTACTTGCTCAAATATTGATTTCGGATCATTTTTAACCAAAAAAAGTTACGGACTGCAGCTTTAACAGTCTGAGACGTGATCTGTGTGAATCTGTACAGAGTTGTTCAGCATCATCTTTAACTGCTGAAAGCATGTTGCAGGAGTTTGTGTCAGAATCTGAGGAAACCTGGCTGAGCTTTCAT